TGTTGGGTGTGACTCATGTGTAACTACTTGTCATTCATTTGTGCGTCTCCCGCTGATACGAGCTTTCTTTAGACTATGCGTCAATTTTTGGGTGTGACTCATTTGTTTGTCATCCTATTATGCGATCCCCGGCTGATAGATACACGTCGAAGATGTAAGACTGGCGCCAGAATAAGATAGATGGGACGAACCCACACAAGCACACACCTCCAGCGCGGCAAACGTACACAACCTCAATGCTGTTCTATGCGGTTGTCCTCGTCGTTTACGCCGTGGTCGTCCACACGGAGAAACAATCGCAGGGTTCAGCAGAAAAGTGCATGTAGGCTTGTAGTTATAGCTACTTGTAGGCCACAGACAGCAGGCGAGTTGTTGGGTACTTCGTAGTTGCCTTGGGGAGAATGCATATTCACTTGTAGTCTTAATAATGTAGTCTAGATGTGCAACGGAGAGAGTACACGGCAGCTGCACGACATGATGGCGAAACGCAAGATCTCCGTCTCTGCGGTGTGCGGTGTTTTGGCGCGTGGGTGCAGACGTTGTTTCTCGGGGTGTCTCCGTCAGTATTTTGTTTGTTGGTCCGTGCTGCATCCTCTTTGCACACGCCGCGGTGACGTCGTGTTTGCACCGAGTGGAAACGGAAGGCAGCCGTGGACCTCTTCAGAGGCAACAACAGCGGCAGACCCACTGATAATCTACCTTCGGCGTATCGCACCGATCGCAGAAGACAAGGAACATCAAGGGATTCATTCGTTGTCGGAAAATATTTATTATTCCTTAATTAAATAGTGGAACAGATTCGCTGCCACTCACACTGCTCACTGCTCCTTGCCGTAGTATTTAGTATTATGGTTGTAGCATAGCAGTTGAGCGTCTAGGAAAATTCTCTTGGGCTATACGTAGATCATTTGACGTTCTCCTGACATGGGTTTGGCGCTCAAAGGCACCCAACACTCTCACCGCAGGTACAAACACGCCCATATGCCTACACCTAATTATCATCTAAAAGAAGGTGTGTTGAGTGTACACGCACACACGTCCTTCGATGTCGGAAAAAAATCAATCAAAAGGAGTTCCGAGAAACTTAACAAGTAGTACATGTATTAGACGGTGACATGTGCAGAGATTGACGCGCATCCTACGGTTTGCAGGGTTGCATTGACCGCGGCCACATCCGTGAGCCCTGAGTCTGCAACCAATCACTGCTACAGTCAGTCGGGCATGTTTGGAGAGAGGGAGAGTTGGAACAACTGGGGACCAATTTGTCACAGCTTCGCTCCGTTCATGTGCAACAACAACCATGGAACCCGAACGAAATCATCAGTTTTCAGAAGCAGCAGCAGCAGCAGCAGCAGCGTGTCCATTGATCTCCTCACCTGTCCACCGCGTCCGTTCTGTGTCAAAAGCGCGCTGCTGGCAACCCACTCTGCTTCTTCTCCAGGCAACGAGCGCTCGATGCAACAACACCTTTGAAGGACGAAGAGTTCTACCATGAAATAAATACACACACAGAAAGGGATCTTCAATGTGGCGGGGCCTGAGTGACGAACGGACCTGCCTGAGTGAGTTATTTTACATTTAATTGACGAAGAGCCTGGGGTTCTTCTTTTTTTTCCTGCTGCCAAAGAAAGGTTCGGGTTCGCGAGGCGTTTGTCCGCCTGTTTCCGCGCGCGCGTTCGCATCATCACAGGCACAGGGCAGGGACAACACACCTCTTACTGCTAGCGCTTCTGCGGCGCCCTGCTTCCCAGGTGCTTGCTGTCAAAGCTCATCCTGGTGCCCCCGACACCCCAGGACTCTTCGCTTGGCTAGCGCTTGCCACCATGGGATTGACGCTTGCCAACACATCGCTGCTCTTTCTCGCCCTGATCACGGGATCGAGGGCGTTTGCCCCGTCAGCATCATCATCATGTCACTCCCCCCGCCGGCTGCGACGTACATCGCCCGTTGGTGCTGTTTCCGCAAAGCCCCCTCGCCCACGAGAGGGCGAGAGAGAAGAAGACCTACCGGAAGATCTTGGTGAGGACGTGATAGGGTTCGATGAGTGTGGCCGGTCAACCTATCACACAGCCCCTCGTTGCTTCTCAGGTTCAAGTTCATGTGCCATCTGCTCTCCTTCCGGACCTCGTGCTCGATCAAGAGTTTGTTGTACGCCGCACAGCAGCAGCAGTCGACAACTGCGGCATACACTGATGTCTGTGTTTTACAGCGGGTGTGCGCTTTGGCGCAAGGTCTTCAGCAGTACACAAGAACAGTCTGGGGTGGGGGTTGCAGTTGCGGTTTGACTTCCGCGGGGAGCAGCAGTGCTGTGACTCGTTGTTTTCAGCTGCAACTCAACTTCGCAACAGAAGGATTCAGGAATCTGGGTTGTTGGCGGAAGACACGGGCTGCCCACCTCTGTCTTCTTTCCGGCATGTGTAGGCTACATGATCTCCGTGTTGCCCTTCTGTAGTACGTGCAGCGAGCAGGTGTAAAACGCTCCAGCGTGGTTTTGCACATGTTGGTAGCATTTTTTGATGTCCCAAGAAAAGCAGCAGTATTCGTAAGGCGCCGGCCGATTGTGTAACATTTTCATTGAGCAACACGTTTGAAAATAGCGCAGGTACCGCATTTTTACCCGCGCGTCCCGCGTGTTGTGCGTTGTGGGATGATCGCCCTGTCACCAACGCTTCGAAGGCGGTTGCTTTGATATCTCTGCGTACCTCTTACTCTAGTAGTAATGGCTTCGCACGCTTCTCCGCTGTAGAACTGCTGCTGTACTTGCTGTAGACCGTTTCCAAGAACAGGATTCTCATGGGTGCTTGTTCCGGGCACGGGGGTTGGAGGCACACGCCATGGCCACGCGCTTAAAAGTTGAAAGAAACGATTTACATTTTTATCGCGTTTGAATGGCAGCGAGTTTGCCACACAGGAATCGAACCGCTACAGATTTGGGGTAGCGCCCTGAAAATGATCCCCACGACCGCTGGCGTGTTGCTGTTTTCCCCGGGCCTGCAAGGCCGAGCGGCGAGCCCTGCCTGTGTTGCACGCGTGACGAACCGACACCAAACAGCAGATTACCCGATTTGTTCCGGCTTGTATGCTTTGCTACCTTCTCAGTCATTGCCCCAGTGTACTAAAGTGTAAATATACAGCAGTCCTGCACGTTTCCTTCAACCCCCGCTGAAAAGACTTCTTGTACGCATCCCGTGGGCCAACTTCGATGAGTGCAGTAATACGGCACTATCTACCATTTGCGGATGATCAACAACGGCTGTGTCTACCGCACGCCATCAAGGTTTCAGCGGTTCAAGAGTTTGCCACCTTGGCCCATTTACTAGACCGTATACACGAGCATCGAAGACTACCCGCCCGAGCGTTCGAGATGGTACCCCCTTCGAAGCGGGTTGGTAAAAGAGGAGCAAGAACGAAGCGATTCAATCTGTGGGTTCCGCGTAAGGGTGCTTGTTATCGACCAATAAAACACGAAAAAAAAAACGAAACCGTGTTTTCTTGAACACAGATGGAGGCGTTTTTCCCCGAAAGCGTGAAAAGAAGGAGCCGGGTTTTTTTGGGGCTTGCTACTTAAACGGATTCGTGTTTTTGACAGAAGCATCGGACAAGCGCACCGCGGGCGCTGTAACATCACTGAGAACGCTAGAAAGACCTGCCAGACTCACGTCCAGGTCTGTTGTGGAGATGGACAAGCGGCAGAAGCGGCGTTCAGTCCGTTCTTGGTCCAAAACTAGACATTGCGTGGTGCTCTCGTCTTCAACTGCTGCTGTTGGTGCTGGGGAATTTTTTCGATCACACATAGCAAACACGGAAACAGTAGAACGAGTACAGCAGCAGCACCAAGATCTCCAAAGCGCTGATTCCTTCGGTTCGGCTGTCTATATGATACCATCTCCCGGCGCCGTCCTGCTTCGTGGGTATTGAGTGCTTGGGTGCTGCTCAATAAGGTGTGTGAGAGACGTGTGCCACCTCACCAAAATGCCGTTGGAAAAATTGCGGCGAGATGATCTGTTTTTGGTCGGACACATCAACATCAATCCACGGCGTCACGCAGCAGTAGAGCAACAGGGCCTCCAACACGCTATTTCTTTCGGATTGGCCATCTATGTGATGCTGGCCGTCAGCGCGGCTGCCGCCATATGATTGTTGAGCTCGTCTACCTTTGGGTAGGTGGTGGTCAAAGATGGGAGTCGTAACCGTGAAAAATGAGCTGGCAAACTGAAGAAATCGCAAGCAACACCCAGGTTGCGACACTCTGCCGTGCGCCTGTTGTTGCTGAAAACTGAAAACAGCAGGCCGGGTGGACGGGATCTTTCTAAGTGTGTTGTCCTCTGTGCCGGGTGCTGCTTATTGCGCTTTTATCGCTGCTCTATGGTGAGCAATACCATGTCAACCTGTTGTGTGCCGAGCAAAGCGTGTATTCAGGGAAGGAAACGTACTTTTTGCGATGACAGCACGAAAAGAACAAGCAAAAAAAAGTCGGGTTTTCTTTTAACCGTTCCGTTTAAAAAAGAACGATTTCGACGTTGCGTTAATAATAACCCTAAGAACACGTTTGCCCGAAAAGAGAGCACCTCTAGAGTCATATCGTGGTGCCACAAGATTGCTGTTTGCTGCAACCGACGCCCTTTACCCACCACACAGGGGGGCAACGTCTTAGGTTGTTGATGGGGATCTGTGGCGATGCCCGACTGAGGCTCTCTTGTCTCCCTCCGTCCCTCTCTCTCTCTCTCTCTCTCTCTCTCTCTCTCTCTCTCTCTCTCTCTCTCTCTCTCTCTCTCTCCCTCCGGCTTGCTTTGTTGTGTTTGTCCGTTTTGAGGCGGGGGTGGACGTCCTT